AAAAAAAAAAAAAAGAGGAAAACTAAGAATGCTGGTACAGACACAGGAGGGCAGAAAGAGCTGGAGAGAGAGATCTGTAGGCACAGGGGCAGAGGTCTGTTGGCTGCTTTTGCATTTTCTGAGATTCTCTTTAGGTTGCCTTATGCTGATGACGCAACTCTCCAAGAAGGGGCGCCCCTAAGATAGTGGCCACTTATGTGCATTTCCCTTATGACTAATGGTGCTGGCATCTTTGCTTACTTAGCTATCTTTTATAGCTGTTAAGTCTTTAGTGATTTAAAATAAATGTGTTGATGATACGTAATATAAACATACGTGCATAGGATGATGCTCTTTGGGAAGGAATGGGATGGTTTTTGCACTAATTTAGATTCAAAATTTGTTAAAGTGCTTACTAAAGATGAGATGTTAAAGGTAGATTTGTTTAAAATTTTCGGTTTGTTTCAGAAATTGAAAAGTGGCAGTCATCATTCAAGATTGCACTCTTTTCAAATGTATTCTATGTGTCATCACAGAATACTTGCAATTTGACAGTAAGGTTGACTATTAAATTCAGTAGCGTTACAGTGGTTTTCCTCAACTCAGGTTAAAGTACAAATAATCAGTGTATTAATTTTTAACCTGATTATTTCATATTATTTTAGCCTCTTAGGTTATTAAGAACCCTCTGTATAACTGCTTTAAGAGCAGCAGGCATGGTCTCTGTCAGAATGAACTTAATTTACATTCAAAAAAAGACCCTGTGCTCTTTAATGAAATCATTTCATGTGCCTGTGACTCATTTCATCACCTCTACCCCACACCCAGATCTCTTATCTCTTTGTTAATACATTCTCCTTATTAAGATTTTATTAGACGATTCTGTGAAAAACATTCTGTTCTTACCTGATCTGTTAAAACCTGCTATTCCTTTTCCTTTACTGCTGTATTTCCGGTCTCTCGGTATGTATTACTGCCTATTATGTAGGCTAAGTAATGATCTGTTTTTTCTGTGCCCAATTGAAGTAACCACAGGCATAAGGCATTAGGTTTATAGCTAATTTTGCAACCCATGACCAAAGAAATTGACTAAAATGTAGACAGAATAATTGCTCATAAATTAAAGAATTATTAGCAGTTGACACCCAGTCATGGTTAAAAGTTTAAGGTTAATCTTTCTAGATTATTATATCTGTTATCTTGTAACAGAACCGAGAGACTCAAGGGAGGTCTATAAATTAAAGATATTTAAATATGAGCAAAGATAAAAAATTGTTTATTTACATTTCTGAAATTTACAAGAATACATACATAATATATATTCAATTCAATTCTGAAGGTGCATTAAAACAAAGTAAACATTACAGTCCATATCTTGATGCTGTATAATTACAGATGGTGGGCACATTAATCACTTTTAGAACATTTATAGATATGTTGAAAATAAGTGTGACAACTTGCAACATTTTGCAGATCCCAGAATTAGATACTTGGAGCAGGGTCTGTGGGAGAGTTGCATTCTTCTTGTGGACTGTCACTGCTCAATTCTTCCACAAAAGAAACACCAGTAAGTTGTTGTGAACAGATATAAGTGTTTTTTGTCTCACAGGGTTCATACGAAACATCACCGTTTGGGCTGTATGCTATGCATTTATTTGAGTTTATAGTGTGAGAGGATGAAAATCTGTAAAAATGGTAAAATGTGGGAAAAGGAAATGAAAATTTTTAGTGATATTTCAAATTTAATAGAACTTTTAAAATCTTCGAATGAGACCTTACCACACTGAGTCACTATATATATATAGATAGATAGATAGATATTCACATTCATCACAATTTCAGAGTAGGAATAGGATTAAAGCTCAGTTATTGTCTCTATAGTCTAGTACATTGAGACTGGGATTCTTTTCTTTGGCTTTTGTTATTTAAAAAAGATTTTATTTATTCGTACATACAGAGATAGGGTAAGGCCAGAGGAGCAGTGGCCGTGAGAGGGTTCAGCAGAGACAGAGCAGGGAGCAGAGCAGGGTGATCTACAAAGTACATTGCTGAGGGGAGCAGCGGGC